ACTAAACGAAAATGGCTTTTCATTTCAGTTGACTAAAACGAGACGAGACAAAATTATCTTTGTGACTAAAATCGGACCTCTAAGTGGACAGGACAAGAGTTTTTGGAGCGATTGAGAGCTTTTCAGTGATAAGCATAATTAATATTAACAGCACAGATATGCAGCGCAGTTCTGTTCAGCAGTGGGAAGGACGAGCCACACCCGGTACATACAGCCTACATCATCTGCTGAGCTGCGGGATAGCAAGCGATGAGTGTGGGCAGACAGTCAGACAGGCTCCGCCCCGGCTGTTCCGCCTCCGATTATACACATCGTGCAGGCGACTCTCTTGCTTCCTAGTAGCTAACCAGCCTGGTCTCATAGACTAAATGTAACATAGTAAATGTCCATCCGGGACACTCAAATTAGTATGATATGTTACGTTTGGTATGGTTACATAAGACAGATGGTTACTTATGGGTGGTTGGTCAGGGTGGGTGGGCGTATAACGCAAATGTCGAGCAACCCAAAGGTTGCGAGTTTGAATCTCATCAGGGACAACTTTAGCATTTTAGCTAATTAGTTAGATGTAGCTAACAACCTGGCGTGCATTCAGCAGGAAACAACATTTTGAAAAGTTCAGATAGAAATATGCTATGTAGGCCTCCCGAGTGGCACAGCTGTCTAAGGCATTGCATCACAGTGCTAGAGGCGTCACTACAGATCCGGGTTCGATCCCGGGCTGTATCGCAGCCAGCCGCGACCAGGAGACCCATGAGACACCGCACAATTGGCCCAGCGTCGTCCGGGTTAGGGGAGGGTTTGGCCGGCTGGGATGTCCTTGTCCCATCGCGCTCTAGCGACTCCTTGTGGCTGTTTCCTCTGACACATTGGTGCAGCTGGCTTCCAGGTTAAGTGAGCAGTGTGTCAAGAAGCAGTGCGGCTTGACGGGTCGTGTTTCGGAGGACGCATGGCGCTCGACCTTCGCCTCTCCCGAGTCCATACGGGAGTTGCAGCAATGGGACAAGACTGTAACTACCAATTGGGGATAAAAAAGGGGTTAAATAAAAAAATATATATGCTATGTAGAACAAACATGCCTCTCTGACATAAGGAATAACGTCGGCTCTATTCATGGCATTTCTATCTGTAACATTCGAGAACGTTTTGCAACAGAACGTGGCCCTGGTAACATAACCAGTAGCCTATATGCAAAGTAACATTTGGTGGCACAAAAAGAAAGGAAAAGGGACAGCAAACAATTGATTGACTAAATTCCTCTTGCCACTACACTATATCTGACTGGGTGAATAACTTTATTTTGAGTTAATGTGGACCCAGTTGCTTCCCACAGTTGTGTCATGTTGGCTAGATGTCCTTTGGGTGGTGGACTAAAATGGCCTACTGTTTTGGTCATTTTGACAGTAACTAAATAATTAGTGACCTAAAAAATCTTTGCTGCTGTCAAATGACCGAATTGCCCTCTAGTGGCCTTATGAGTGGAATGTTATTAATATTTTTCATAATTTCATAATTCATAAACTTGTTTTTAAATATTTCAGTCTTCTGTGATGTATATAAAGTGTAATATTGGGATGCAAACTCAAAATGGAATACATTTCAACTCTATATCTGACATGGTACAGTTGTCTTTTTTTTAAGCCCTTAACTATGTGTGTGAGGTGTATACTTTTGTTTCAAAGTAGATTTAAGACTACCAAGAAACACTCTGTGTTACCCTGATTTAGCCCACTGCAGTAAAAGGTTAATGATATTTGAGTCAAAATGACTAAGACTAGACTAAATCCTAAAACGATTGCCAAAATTAACACTGAACTGTTGTGATGTAATGTATTTTTGGATGCGTTTTCAGAGCTGGCTCGGGAAATGAACTTTTCTGTCGATGAGATCAACCACATCCGAGTGGAGAACCCCAACTCCTTGACAGCTCAGAGCTTCATGCTGCTAAAGAAATGGGTCAGCCGGGACGGTAAAAACGCAACGAGTGAGTGTCTCTCCTTCTCCCATAAGTATTTCTACCCCCTGTGGCTTTCTCTTCTATCATGTCTCACTCTATTACACTTGTATGATTGTGTACTACAGAGTACCTCGCTACTGTACTTTTCCATGTGCATAAAAGGCCTCACTACCTCTCTTATCCCTCTCTCCTTCTGAACTCCCTCTCTCTGCCTCATACTGAATGACATTGAAAGGACTTATGTAGAAGCAGAATGGCCTCTATCTTTGTTAAGATTCCTAGTGCAGCTGTCTTTCAGCTGAATATGAAGTCACATTATGTTCATGCTCCTACTAAGGACATTATGTTTAGTACAGGAAAATGTCATTTGGCCTAGTCTCCTTGTACAAGAGAAGAATACGGCAACCCTTTTTTCACCTTCACCCACTGCAGTGTGATAGTGAACTATTTACCTTGTAAGAGTTATGACAATGACAAGGAATTGATTAAGGAACAGTGCATATTGTTCAGACAACTGTCATATTGTACAACAAACAGTGTCTTTGTTTGACTGACTTTCTATTGTCTGTTTTTCTTACAGCAGACGCCTTAACTGGAGTGCTGACCAAAGTCAATCGGATGGATATTGTGACTTTACTGGAGGGGCCGATATTTGACTATGGTAACATTTCAGGCACGAGAAGTTTTGCCGATGATAACGCTGTTTACCTGGATCAGGCTGATGGTAAAGTTTAGCTCCATCTAGCTGACCTCTTACCTCTCCTGCCACCTCTTTTGTTTTTGCCTTACAACAGTAGCAAAAATAAGAACAAATTGCCTGGCAATACTATTGAATGCAATTTGCCTATAGCGACTACAGTACCCTATCTTAGATAGGGTGATGTCTGACCCTTAGTTTTCTGCTTTTATTTTTCAGTTTCTGTCTAACCATTTTCTGACATGCACTCGAAATGAGTGTGAGGAAATGTTAGCATGCAGAGTCCCATGGGTTCACTTTTAACTTAGTTAATTCAGGAAATGTATTTTAATTCACTTTCTGAAATGACTGGGTTACTATTAAATTGACACCAATCAACCCTGATGATGAGGGTAGCATGTTAAGCCCAAATATTTTCTAGAGATGTCTTGATTGACATTACCTTTTATATTATTTAAGCCCTCTGAAAATCAAATTGCATTTGTGCTCCAAGGGTTTTGAAAGATGAATTGATGACAAACACTAAAACTATCCATAACGCTAACCAGTTGCATGCTATAACACACTGCTTTTACCTGATTACCTTGTACCTTCAACAGGACACTACTGTATAAACCCTTTGTTCCCTAATGCATTGAGTAGCCATAAACTCAACAGACAGTCTGTTGTACTCTGTTCATCTATAGCTCTAGATCTGTCTAGTTCTCTAGTCTACCTCCAGTTCCTCTGAGCCCTCCCCGGATAGAATGACAGAGCTTCCTCCTCTGTGAAACCAGACTACCTTCTTCCCCTTATGCTCTCGTCCATCTCCACAGCCTAATCTCCAGGGCAGCTTATAACAGCTCTTAACTGCTTATTAAGAGTATTGTGCTGTCATCTCTGCACTTCCCCATTCCCTTCCCTGCCACCTAATCTCTCAAAATCACCTTTCTGTCCTCTTCTTCATCATCTTCTTGTCTTGCTAATTATGTTTTAGTATTTTGTTAGATTTTTTTGTGTGTCTTTGTTTCTCTTTTATCGTCGCGTGTCCTCACCAGTAGCATGCTTTGTTGTTCATGAGAGCACCTCCATCTCTGCATTCCCAGTTTCTTCATCGATTAAGAATAATTCCCTAAACCCTGACTCATTCTTGGTCTTGCAGACCTCCACACCTCTCTCCCTTACTATGCCCACACCCCCACACCACCGATCCCCATGTTATGAATCCTCTGTCTCACTCATGGACCTCACACATTTACACCCATCCCCACCACCCGATCCAGCTCCCTCTCCTCTTCCATGTCTCCTTCTTATCCCCCAGTCTCCAAGTCTTCAACCCACTGGGGACCCCAGTCAACCCACACACCTGTCCTCTACTCCCATGCCCCAGCTCTCTCCCTCATCCCTTCCAAGTATCTCCCTCAATGCTCAGTTTTCGAGTCCTCAGGCTCAACCCACTGGGGAACCCAGTCAACCTACACCCCTATCCTCTACTCCCATACACCAGCTGACTCCTTCATCTTCTCCTCAGTCACCAAGTCTTAAACCCACAGGGGACGCCACAGCCCTCTCTTCTAATCCCACCCCCCATCTGTCTCCCTATGTGACCCTATGCCAGTCCCCCAGTCTTGAATCCTTAGAAACCCCATTTCCCCCTTCGTCCCGTTCTGTCTCCCCCATCTCCTTTGCCGTCCTCCCCCTAATATCACCTGCAGGGTCTCGCTGCCCTAGTCCTGGCCCTTCCTCCCCTCCCATCCGTTCCCTGTCCCCCTGTCCTGCGTGTCAGTGTCCCTGTGTTTCCCCCATACCTTCTCTTACTGCTCCTCCCTCTTGGGTTCGCATCGACCCCTCTACCCTAGAAATCTTCATCTAGGCCCCCTCCTATCCTCTTTCATATTTTCTGTGTGAGCATGACTGAACACCCACTCAAATCTGAACTAATAAAACCCACTCATTGCACATATGAAAATTCCTATTCCTAGCATTCCTTACTTTGATTATTTCTGTTTTGTTTTCTTATCCCATTTCAAAGGCTGCATATGAACCCATCCCTTTAATAGAAGAAAACTAACTTGTCATAAAACTGTTAAAAGCTGTGACAGACATAAGTATTAATTGTTTTCATCAGTGTAAATATAATTTGTTTTATACCATTTTTACGTTGGGTTTCTCTAAGGTAGCTCTCAAGTGAATCAAAAGTGCTGCATATTGTGCTGATGATTCATGACACCAGTGTCCCCTCTGAGTGTCACCATAATTAGTGGGTGTTTTGTTGCATGCTCTATAGTCAGTCTCTGTGACATTGTCCATGTCACTCAGTCCATGTAGTGTGTGGTTTATGTGGGATTCCTTGTGTCATGTGCTTCCATGTGCGTATATCATATCCCAACAGATTATCACAGCATCCTAGCAGAGCTGCAGTCCCCTGCCCAACTGCACTCTGACCCTTCCTTCACGGAGCTCCACTCTGAACCCCCTACCCTCACCATTGACCCCGACCCTACCTCTGTCCAGCTCCACCCAGACCCTCCTATCCTCATCCTCACCCAGTCCGAGCCCTGGACCGAACACATGGAGCCTAGTGTGGAGCCTGACACCTCCACTAGGAGCCCTTCTAGACCCTGTGAGCTGTCCCTGTCCATTCTCACCCTTGACTTAGATCCCACCACTGCCAGCAACACGGGAATGGCTGAAGGTGACCAGGTGCTAATAGTGGAAGAAGAGAAAAGGGAAGTGGACATAAGCCTCCAACAGATGTCATTCGCTTCCCCTGAACAGTGTGAAGTAGAAAAAGAGGTCAAAGAGCAAGTCTCCTTATCATCATCATCATCATCATCCTCCCCATCATCACCTGGGCAAGCACAGCAGGAGGACAGCAGACAGGCAGGGGCTGAGGAGGTTGCACAGGGAGGTGGTGAGGAAGTAGTAGAGGCAGGTGAGATGGTGGAAGAGGGGGTTAAAGTGGTGGAAGAGAGGGAAAAGGAAAGAGAGAATGGGGCTGAGGTGGCGGAAGAGGGGGATAATAAGATGGTGTTGGAGTGGGGTAAGGAGCCAGAGAATGGGGCTGAGGCATTGGGGGAGCAGGGAGTGTCTGGTTCCACCGAGGAAGAGGATGGAGACGAAGATGAGATGACAGAAGACAAGTTAAAGTCGCTGTTGGAGGATATTCATTTGAAGGAAGGCTCAGAGGAGGAGGAGGAGGGCGAGGAGATGACGGAGGCCAGGGTTCAGGAGATTCTCAGTCAGGTGCATCAGGCAGAAAAAGACGTGTGTTCACTTCCAGGTTGGCACAGTGAGACATCCAGCGTCAACGTGGAGCCGCCCACACCCGGCCGCAGTGTGAGCTCAGACCTGCTAGACCGCCAGGAAAATAGGTAAACAAAACAAAATTATTCCTTCACTGCTAAGGATGAAGTATAAATACACTTTCATGTAAATCTGCAACTGGGATTCAATATCTTCGCCTCAGTCTTTTTTTTCATAATCTGCCTTTGTCACAAACAATTTAATCAGTACATTTGATACCAACCCCATCCTATTCTCAATATTGAGCTTTATCATAATCAATGTTCTCTGAATTGTAATCCTAAACCATTAATCAGAGTTGCAATCTTAGTCTCAACCTTACTCTTTCTCTCAATCTCTCCCCATAGCCAGGAGAACTCCAGTGACTCCATCACCTCTTCCTCTAGAGGGGAGCCAGGGAGGTCCAGGCACAATGGCGATCACACGGAGCTACCACCTCAGGACGGGTCACTTCCTGTATCGCAGGACTCAGCCAACGGAAGAACAGGACATGGGAAGGAAGAAGGCACACTTGTGTTTGAGAAGAAAGTCCAGGTAATTGCAATGATTATGCAAGATACTGTACTGTAAATGTTTTTGTAGAATGTGTGTCTACTACAGTGAATACGGCTCATCAGATACATCCCTGTTGTTTCTTTTTACAGTGACATGAACTGGATGTCCATTCTTTCAAATCAACTGGTTGACTGTAAATTTAACTTGACCCTTTTTTCCAGATGTTTATTGTTATTGATGTCAGAAGAACCTTGGGATTGTGTGACGCTAACACATTTTCTCTCGCCTGCTTTTTTTGTGTGTTTTCTACATCTCCTTCTCACTGTCTGTAATGTTGCTTAACTGCACTCTTCACCAGCGTTTTAGTGAGTCCGGCTCTGATGAGGAACAAACCGTCACCACCAGGGTGTTTCGGCGCCGGGTCATTCTTAAGGTACCCTGCTGAGACTGGGTGAAGGTTTGGTTTAGGTTTGGCGATAGATGGTTAATCTAGGTTTGCCTCTGGTGTGCAGTGGGCTGGTGTGGCTCGCTTAACTGACAGCTATCAGTGGGAGAAAAAGGAAACTTCTGAAATGTGTGTTTGAAGTGTGTGTGTGTGTGCGCGAGTGTGTAGTGTGTCCTGGCCTGGTAACCTGCTTTCATGTTTTCAATCAAGGAACATTTTGTGTCTCACTGTTGCCTCTGTGATGGCATTTAAAGGGACATGTCACATTCATTTAGTTATCGTTTCACTCAACATCTCTCTGGGAATTCTAAAATATTCTGTCTCTAGAGGTTTGCTTGCAGTTTGATGGTGCTGTTGCTGCAAAGTGTGTTAGTGGTTTGCTGTTACACTGGCTGAAGTGAATTTGGACCAGTTATGATTGTAGTCCTAACCATGAGCACTTACAGGGAGAACAGGCGAAGAATATTCCTGGCGAATCAGTGACAGAAGAGCAGTTTACTGATGAAGACGGTAACATCATCACTAGAAAAGTAACTATCTGCCTCTGCCTTCACTCTGATTTACCCCTCTTCCTAAAAATACACCTCTGATTTCTCATACCCACCTTCTCAAGGCATCCTCTAAACTCTCCTCCCAAACCTTCCTGAACCCTATCCACTTGTGTTTGTGTGTGTATCCCGGCCATACCCTCTCCTTCTTGACCATGATCATTATCTCCTCCCCTTTCCCAGGTCATCAGAAAAGTCATCAGGCGGGTGTCCATGCCTGACGACCAGGGCAGGGACAGGGGGAGGTGGGACCGAGGAGACCAATGGCCTTGCCCTTTCTTACTGGAGGAGGAGCTAGAGGTTGGCATGACGACGGAATGGGCCGCATAGAGGGTTGCCCCAAGGGGGTTCTAGGGTTCTGAGCCTGAACAGAAAACAGGCGTGTCGGAACCTTTGGACCTTAACTCAGGATGTGGTCGTGGGATTTGACGTGGAGTTCTGCGGCTAATGTTACCAGTGTGTGTGTGTGTCTGTTTGAGTGTCTGCCAGTCTGTGTGTCTCTGTGTGCGTGCATGCATGAGTGCTCAATGACTAGGATGCTGAATATGTTCCAGCTATTGTTTGTGGCCCACATTGAATTGGAAAACGGATTGTTCTGGCATGAACAAGGTGCGCTCTGCCCTGACACATATACATCTCATTTGTTTGTGGTAATACAACTCCTCTGGGCTATTCTTTTTTTCCAGGAATTTAAACATTCACTATGCCTCAAGAACTTTGTGTGATTTCACTTCACGTTGTCCTGCTATCTGAGTGTGTGGTGCTAACATTTGCCTCTGTGGTGTGGTTTACTGCTTTCAGGTTGATGGTTTCAGGTTGCTAATATTAAATAATCTCACATGTTGCTTATCTCTGGTCTAGCTGCACTCGGGTTGCGGTTTTCAGGTTGCTGTGTTGGGTTACATTTTTTAAAACATTTTTTAGTCATTTAGCAGACGCTCTTATCCAGAGCGACTTACAGTTAGTGAGTGCATAAATGTTTCGTACTGCTTGCCAGGATGCCTCTCAGGATGTGGGGTTCTGAAATTGGTCTTGTCTCACTCGTATGTGTGTGTGTGTATTTGTGTGTTGCAGCAAGGAGATGGAGCTAAAAGCAGGAGGAAGGAGGAGAGGAGGTCGGGAGAAAAGAAGCTTCACTCGTAGGGCTAGCTGTGCTCCACCAGGTACTTTACCAAATAGAGTGCTTTACCCCACCACTTCTCTAATAAACTCATTCATTTCTATCCCCGTCACTGTTCAGTGGTGTGCTCAATATTTTCTGTTCCATTCCATATACATGTTTAAACTTGGTGCAGCTCTGCTCCATTTCACTATACTTGTTCTCTTCTGCACTGTTCTCCACTCTACTCTTCTGCCCTGATTCACGTACTTCATTCTACTCCTAACAGTACACACACACAAACATACCTTTATGTTTCAAACTGAAAGCCTGACTCTTGTCTGTTTTGATTCTGGCTACGTCAGCTGTGTGGTTGGGTGACTAGTCACAAAGGGAAAATGGATAATGCTCAAAACACACCTCAGCATATATTGTCACACAGACACTCTCTCTGTCTAACGCTCTCTTTATCCACTAAATCCCCCCACAGGCCAGCTCATAGACAGTACTATTGTGTGGGAATTTCATCAAAGAGAGGTCGCTATCTGATTGGTTACTGTTAATCCCTGTAAGGTGTTGTTAGCTATATGCATCAGTGAATTATCAGTTTAAGCAAACCTGTATAAAAAGAGTAGTGGCACTCTCATATGATCTCTGGCTCAGCTGGTGGTTTCCATGACAACCAGGGTGACCATGACAACCCGTGGCTCAACAGACCTCTTGATGCTCTCTAGCGTCATTGAGAGAATGATTGCTCCAGTAAATGTGTGGGTGGCCAGCAAAATGGAACATAAAATTCAGATGCTATGATGTGCTATGATGTAGAGGTAATACATCTATACAGTAATCTGAATGAGTAATAACTAAGGGACTCAAACTCAACAGCTGCCCAAAATAACGACATTTCTGATATGTTGTAATCACAGCTTTTCTTATTTTTCAGGTGTGCAGGAATTATTCTCATCCGTTTCCAGGGCAGAAAGTTACAAACAACTAGAAAACTAAAGGAAAATATGAAATTTCAGCCAATACTTCCAACACATGGTTTTCAAGCGTGAAGAACTTGACCCGTCTGATTTTAGCATGAGCATGAAAAACTCACTCCCTGTCAATTGAGGGATCTGGAAGGTTCTCGCCATGGAATCTGAATTCTAATTATACTGCTTTCACTTCCTGTGGTCTATGGACCAGAATAATTATGTTTCCTGTTTGTGACTCGTAACGTGCCATTGGTGTCGTGAGAGCTTTTGAGGAGCATTGTGGTGACACCTAAAAAGGACTCCATTACAGAAAAACTACAGGTGGTCATGAGAAAAACCATTGGTGTCGTGAGAGCTTTTGAGGAGCATTGTGGTGAGACCGAAAAAGGACTCCTTTACAGAAAAACTACAGGTGCAACTGAACATACACTTCCCTGTGACCAAAGATGGCACAAAAGCTCAATTCTAGTAGTAGGAGAAAGAAACTCAACAAAATTACACAAAAACAAGAGGAACACTTCTGATCCACCTCCAACACTCGCCTTATAGTTTTTTCTTGGACCCATAAATGTCAGGTGGTAAATTGCTGGGGGTTTTGTTTTCCTTTTTAAACCTGAAAAAAACAAGGCTTTTTTCTGTATAGAAATTACAATCTGTACAATTCTAAAATGATGAGTTACAGGATGATAATGCAGAGGAGAGAACTTTACAAGTGCTTTCAACATGATTATCAAAATGGTTCCACTTTTTGGAAGATTTGAGTGAACTTCACACGTTGTTGTATAATTAATTATTATAGCAGGTATAATATTTGTATATGAAACAAGTTGGTTCGATTTTAACAGAGGACATTTCCAGAAAATCTTCTGCAAATTTCAGTGATTCCCAAAATGGGGATGTATCTAATTCTGCAAAAGCAGTCTTTCAGAGTACTCATATTTTCATGCATGCCTTTCACATTATTTTAAGTAAAATTTGTACAAGTTTGCAAACACTGTATTGAAATTAGAATTAAAACCCTTTATCTGTGTACACATATAGCCCTAACATTTGTCACCAGTTTTATATTTGAAATGACAAAAAAATTAAATAAACATAAAAGCATTTATTGTGTCTCGGACAAGGAACAGTATGAAGAAAGTTTGTTCTATAGCTTCTTGAGGGTTACCGTTTGTCTATGTACAACTGAAGGGCAGCTTCTGCAGGCATTATCATAAATGCTATGAGAAAGGAGTAATCTGAATGTATATGCTAGTAGACTGGCTCACTGTAAAATTATAAATGTATTGTGTGTATTGGCTATAAGGTGTAGAGGTCGCTGTACGCTGTAAGACGGTTTGTAATCATTTTAGCAGTGTGTCAATTGGTTTTATAAAGGCTGCTGTGGTTTTGAAGAAGAGGGGGTTTTGGGTTTTTGTGAAGTATTTCCTTAAATTTAATCTACTCACATAAAGACACACAATACATTATTTGATTGTAGCTCTTAATAGCATATGTATGACAAAAACACTGGATGGTCAAAACGATTATTTAAGCATAAAATAAATTGTGTTGAACTCTGAAATTGTGTGATCTTTTTAGGCTTGAGAATCTGTATGCAGTGTCTAACTAGCATTGTTTTGATAGCTCATTGGCGATTACTTTGCATTAGATCTTCTCTTTGTATTGGTTTGACTAGAGGCCCATGTAGTTCAAGTGTGGTGTTATTCTGGTGTGAAGGCTCAGACTTAGTGTGATGATGATGTTTATGCTGTGGACATGACAACCATGTAAAGGACTTTTTTTTTTTTTTTTTTACAAGTGAAGCAATTTAGGGTATTGTATCATATATCCTATCCTACATGTCAATCAAGGGGTAGAGGGTAATTTGATATGGTTGAACTATCAATTTTGTCAATTTTGTTTGATATGTGTTTTCACCTGTGCTAATTTTTCGATGTACAATTCTTACTAACAGAGTGAAGCCATTGAAATGTAACTATTCTAGCACTTTGGTTATTCAAGGTCTTATTTTAGAGGCTATAGAAGCAATGACGCCACCACAATGTTTCAAGCGTCTTAAAAAATGTAATTTAAAAACAAAATAAATAAAAATGCATTGGTTTTGAAATATTTTGTTTCTGTTTGATCTTTGTGTTTCTGTGATGTTGAATCTCTTATGTTCGTAAGAAATTCCAATGGATTGTGAAATGTTTAGGCTAAGGAATAAAAGAGGTTGGTAGATAAATGTAATGTAATGTATGATTGAATAATTAGCCGGACACAAGAGGTAGTAACAAAATAACATTTTCAAGAAATGAAATCTTCTATAAAGTGTCTTTCTAAGCACCTTCAATACAACATCACAGTAAACACCTGCTTTTATTACATTTGTTATAATTTTGAATAAGTTAAATGCAGAAAAAATATAACAAATCAGTAGCTAAGCCAGAGATTAACACATTTTTGACATAAACTATCATACCTTGGCAAGGTGGGGTGGGTTCTCAGTCCTACAGTCTTTTCAGATCTACAAAACCCAAGAAGCCATCAAGAAGTGTCTATAGGGACACCTGGACCGCGTCCTGATTCTCCACCCTTTTCCAGAAGTGTGCACTTGCACATTCCCTGTCATGGATTTAAAGGAATTGGTGTAAGCATTGGCTGGAGGGAGTTTCCACCATTGTTAAATCCATGTGAGCATGTGTTGCAGTGCATGCTTAGGGAGAAGGGAGAGAATCTAGACTAGGAGTTGATTTCAAATTTTGTCACAGACATACAGTACATGACTGGTAAGGAGATATAAGGGGTTGTATTCAATCAAACCCACACTGCAGAAAATGATATTGTTCATGCACTGCACCTTTTCATTAGACTACTGTTGGATAAAGCGAAAGATGAACAGCTTTGCTTTTGGTTTCCTCAGTAATATGTCCACTTAATTGCAATATACTACACTTGTACTTTTCTATACACTACCGGTCAAAGGTTTTAGAACACCTACTCATTCAAGGGTTTTTCTTTATTTTTACTATTTTCTACATTGTAGAATAATAGTGAAGACATCAAAACTATGAAATAAAATATATGGAATCATGTAGTAACCAAAAAAGTGTTAAACAAATCAAAATATATTTTATATTTGAGATTCTTCAAATAGCCACCCTTTGCCTTGATGACAGCTTTGCACACTCTTGGAATTCTCTCAACCAGCTTCACCAGGAATGCTTTTCCAACAGTCTTGAAGGAGTTCCCACATATCATATGCTGAGCACTTGTTGGCTGCTTTTCCTTCACTCTGCCGTCCGACTCATCCCAAACCATCTCAATTTGGTTGAGGTCGGGGGATTGTGGAGGCCAGGTCATCTGATGCAGCACTCCATCACTCTCCTTCTTGGTAAAATAGCTGTTACACAGCCTGGAGCTGTATTGGGTCATTGTCCTGTTGAAAACAAATGATAGTCCCACTAAGCCCAAACCAGATGGGATGGCGTATCGCTGTAGAATGCTGAGGTAGCCATGCTGGTTAAGTGTGCCTTGAATTCTAAATAAATCACAGACAGTGTCACCAGCAAAGCACCCTCACACCATAACACCTCCTCCTCCATGCTTTACGGTGGGAAATACACATACGGAGATCATCCGTTCACCCACACCGCGTCTCACAAAGACTTTGACTCCAGACCAAAGGACACATTTCCACCAGACTAATGTCCATTGCTCATGTTTCTTGGCCCAAGCAAGTCTCTTCCTCTTATTGGTGTCCTTTAGTAGTGGTTTATTTGCAGCAATTTGACCATAAAGGCCTGATTCACACAGTCTCCTCTGAACAGCTGATGTTGAGATGTGTCTGTTACTTGAACTCTGTGAAGCATTTATTTGGGCTGCAATTTCTGAGGCTGGTAACTCTAATGAACTTATCTTCTGCAGCAGAGGTAACTCTGGGTCTTCCATTCCTGTAGTGGTCCTCATGAGTGCCAGTTTCATCATAGCGCTTGATGGTTTTTGCGACTGCACTTGAAATGTTCTGTATTGACTGACCTTCATGTCTTAAAGTAATGCTGGACTGTCGTTTCTCTTTGCTTATTTGAGCTGTTCTTGCCATAATATTCTTATTTGAGCTGTTCTTGCCATAATATGGACTTAGGGCTATCTTCTGTATACCACCCCCACCTTGTCACAACACAACTGATTGGTTCAAACGCATTAAGAAGGAAAGAAATTCCACAAATTAACTTTTAAGAAGGCACACCTGTTAATTGAAATGCATTCCAGGTGACTACCTCATGAAGCTGGTTGAGAGAATGCCAAGAGTGTGCAAAGCTGTCAGGGTGGCTATTTGAAGAATCTCAATTATAAAATATATTTGGATTTGTTTAACACTTTTTTGGTTACTACATGGTTCCATATGTGTTATTTCATAGTTTTGATGTCTTCACTATTATTCTACAATGTAGAAAATAGTAAAAATAAAGAAGAACCCTTGAATGAGTAGGTGTGTCCAATATTTTGACTGGTAGTGTAAGTACTTTTCTGTATCCTATGGCATCGATGAACATTGGCACAAAATAGGACACCATTTCACAGAGCTATCTCCACAAGGTGACGCTATTTTAACACGCGTGTGGTTGAAACACAGAGCAAGGTCACACCACACCGAATTTTCGTAGGATGCTGCCGCGTTGTCACTAGAAGCCACAGCCACAAAGTCAAACATGAAAACAACTATTTGCTTTTTGGTCTTCATTTGAGGTTAGGGTTAGGCATACGGTTAGCAGTGTGATTAGGCTTAGTTTACGTTTAAAATAAGACTTTAAGAAGATACATTGTCGAAATAGGCGGGCTTTAGCCATAATTATGACTTTGTGACTGTGGTAACTAGTTAAGACCCTGCTGCTGCCTCACAAACACTGCAGCTGCAGTCTCCTCCACGGTACTGTCTGTCGCACATAGCCATGGCGGACAGTGCAAGCGAGAGCGACACCGACGGAGCAGGGAGTAGCTCGGCTACACCGATGTCATCCTCCGCTTCAAATTTGACCAAACCGGGAGTAGTCATTTCACAGTTTCGATTAGAGGAGTTAACTAACCGATTAGCCTCACTACAACAGGAGAACAAAGTTCTTAAAATTGAGCTGGAGACGTTCAAACTCAAGTGCAAGGCGCTACAGGGGGAGAATCGGGACCTGCGTAAAGCTAGCGTCACCATTGTGAGTAACTGGTGGTTTTTGTTGGTTAGCCAAGCTAGCTACATTCTACAAATGCACCTAACGTTAGACACGCACGTGAAACATACGAAATTCAAACTAGATTAGCCAACTAACGTTAGCTAGCTATGCTTGTTAAGAGGCTTGCTAGATAATGTAGCTAGTTTAGTGAGCTAGCGTAGCTAGTTGGTTAGCTAACGTTAGCTAGGTAGCCCGTTTAGTTTTGGTGTTGTTAACTAACGTAGTTTAGTTAGCTAGCTAGCCAATGCGTCCTGTTGTTCATTTGCTGACACCTAATCCATTTGACAAATGGTGACCAAGAAGTTGACGTTTGTATCTAACTAACGTTAGAATAATGTTAGCCGTGTCATCTAAACTAGCCAACTAGTCTGCTCTTATGAGGCTTTAGTTTGGGTTCTCATTGTTCTTTCTTTTTGTGCTTAACGTTAACGTTACATCTACCCCTTGACACAACTGTTGAATTCATAATAAATCATGACCTAACGTAAAAAAAAAAAAAACGAATAGCTAGTTCCTCAACATCAGTCACTCATTCAGTTGCTGCAATAGGCTACTTCTTGAGTCATTGATGGGGTGGACCAACTGCTTCCTTTCCAGCTGACAGACCTTAATGCAGCAAACCTGCACAGTACTATTCCTTGCTTTTGTCAAGAGACTACTGTGCCAATTAGAAAGCCATCACCTTTACGAATAACAATCTCATATTTTAGCAGAGACAGCTGTGAGCTGAGCAGTGTGGTAGAAGTTGACATTCGATTGGCGAAGACAAATCACTTCATGTTGTTGCCATTGTTACCCATTCCAACATTTAAGCATCCCGTAGCACATTTATGACATGTTGTATTGAGGTATTCCGTGAGCCATTTTGTTGTGAATGCTGCACTGATATTTTTGGTACATTTTGTCCTCTGTTTCTCCATGACTGCAGCAAGCCAGGGCTGAGCAGGAGGAGGAGTTCATCAGCAACACCCTGTTCAAGAAGATCCAGGCCCTGCAGAAAGAGAAGGAGACCCTCGCCGTTAACTATGAGAAAGAGGAGGAATTTCTCACCAATGAACTGTCAAGAAAACTCATGCAAGTGAGTGACAGCTGGAAAAGAACTGACTCTGGGGCATTTAACTTATGCCAAGTATTTGTCGCGGTGTCAACCTAAGGTTTGGGGTGGAGCGCATAACAGTATTGGTTCTTGACTGAAGTTATTTTCTTAAACGACCTCATCACTACTCTAAATGACTCTCGACTGACTACTCCTATTCCTGGGTTAGGCTATTTGGCCTCTTTTGCAACCGACCCACATTTAGCCTCAGCTCCATTACCAGTATGAGCTATTGACCTTTGTAGTACTGACTAATGGTTTGATGTACAAAGATGAAGCATGAATCTCACTGTACCACTCGTGTGTTTTAACAAACCCTGGTTAAAGGTCAGACAGTCTGGAGGCTTTTGTTATCTGTCCTGTTCCATAACATAAAACAGGCCCACTTCTGCTCCTACACTTTAGTGTCGACAGACTCTCCTTAGCACGTGTTCCCCTCACCAAGTGTCGATATAAAATGAGAAATTATGGTAGTCATTTATGTGGGAGGGAGACACTTATGTGAACATGACCTTTTATCTGACATACCCTTTTCCATGAATTTCGTGTAAGGCGTTTCAAGTCAGTGGCCTGCACCAGGCAAGAACAACAATGCTAATGTGGATTTGAACTAGCAACCCTGTTCTATCACACCCCAGGCTTCAACAGTAAATAGTGGTTCATAGTATTAGTATTTTCAGTGGTATAGGCTACTACTACTATAAGGACTGGGCCTCCTCCTATACCAGGGGTGGGCAATGATTTTGGGACGAGGGCCACATAGGGATTTTTATATTTTTTTGGACCAATTTGTTAGTCAAAATCTATTTGCGAGCCAGAGAAAGGGCAGTTATTTGAATATAGATAGGTCCATTATAATTAATACATATACTTTCTATCTAGTTTTAGACGTTCAAGTGTGGCACGGAGTGGGTTTTTAAAATCCCGCGCAGGCCACATTTAATCGGCTGGCGGGCCGGAGTTTGCCCACCCCTGTCCTATACCCTAGATCAGTGGTTCTCAAACCTCTCCTCTGGCACACCCAGCCATTCTGTTTATTTGAACTATTCTAGAGCTAGCACACCTGATTGAACTTGTCAACTAATTATCAAGCCCATGTCTAGGTGACTCTGGTGAGCTAGTTCAGGGCTACGACAAAATTGTGAAACCGAGGAGAGGTTTGAGAGCCACTGCCCTAGAAGTCCTGTATCCACCTTCAGATACAGCCCTCTATGGCTGTGTTTACACAGGAAGCCCAATAATCAATCATTATTTCCTACTAATTGGTCAAATTTAAGAGAAAAGTTGTTGACATTCGATGTTGCCTGAAGCTGTTGATCATCTTTGGGAATATTGGCTGCACACTCCAGTCCTTTCTGTTGTGGTGTTTCTATGTTGTGGTCCAGGTAGCCTAGTGGTTAGAGCGTTGGGGCAGTAACCAAAAGGTTGCTAGTTCCAATCCACGAGCTGACAAGGTGAAAATAAATCTGTTGCCGTGCCCTTGAGCAAGGCACTTAACCCTAATTGCTCCAGGGTCGCCATTGATAATGGCAGACCCTGGCCGTGATGGTGTCTCGGGGGCAGTTGGGACACACAAATCCCATCCAATTCACACATGCAAATGATAACACACTTATACATGTGTGAAATAGGACAAATATAAACACCCACCAACTTATAATAAAGGTCAGTGGCGCGAAGAAATAGGCATGTCTCTGCAGGGTGTACACTGATTGTTCTTCTGAAGTTAGGGTCCACTGTACTGTAGTAATAGGCTAAGGTTAGGTTGTCAAATGGCCTCTAGCACTCAACTAAAATAGCTCAACCCCCTGTTTTATTTGTTTTATTTTGACCTGATGATTAGTCGGTGTTCTCTAGATATGAGTGATTTTACCCTAATAAAAAATCAATCTGCGTAATCCATCACACAATCCTCTTATTTTTAACAAGCTATGAGCCGCACCCTTTTTATTGGTAGACTGCCAAAGGTGGTTGCTTTGGCTGCTTTCGGCAATATCTAGCTGCACCGTCGCCATTTCACAACATATTCTTCACCAGATCACAATCATAGAGACAAGCAGTACCAACACTTTACCACCTCTGTAATACAGACCTATCAACATGTAGCCACAGTGCTCTAATGCCAATCTTTCCATTGGTTGCAATTACTTGCATTGATTTCTCCTCCCATCTTCCTCCCACAGTTACAACATGAGAAGGCTGAGTTGGAACAGCACTTGGAGCAGGAGCAGGAGTTCCAGGTCAACAAACTGATGAAGAAGATCAAGAAAATGGAGAACGACACTATATCAAAGCAGCTCACCTTGGAGCAGGTACAGTGACATTATAATGACACCACAGGCAGCTGGTGGCACCTTAATTGGGGAGGACGAGCTCATAGTTTTGTCTGGAAATGAATGAATGGAATGGTTTCAAATGCATCAAAACACAATAGTTTCCATGGGTTTGATACCATTCCAGTCACCCCATTCCAGCCATTTTTCTGAGCCGTCCTTCCCTGACCAGCCTCCTGTGAGTGACGCCATGTGCAATGACATTGTCTTGGTGCAACTGAGTCTATTCTATGAGGACATTAGGACAAACTTTAAACATCGTGTCGGCACTGCCACTTAAGCGCAAATGCCGTTACCATGATGGGAATGTATACGTTTGTGTGTGTGGGTGTGCATTTCTTTGTGTAAGATGTTCTCAAACTGAATATCTCTTTTCTGTGTTCCCTTTCTTTCCAGCTAAGGCGCGAGAAGATTGACCTCGAAAACACATTAGAGCAAGAACAAGAGGCTCTTGTCAATAGACTGTGGAAGCGCATGGACAAATTGGAGGCAGAGAAAAGGTAGGATTTTATAATTTAGTAACCATATATTCTTTAGGTAGTCTGCACATCTAGAGAAACCCAGGTGCTGGATTCAGTGAATGGTTGAAAGTAAACAAAATGAACCTTCATATTACTGTTGTGCGCTCTTTAGTGATGATCTTTATTAGGAAAGTAGTAATAATATATCGAATGGTTCTCTCCATCGTCCCTTATTGGCGGATCTGTTGACTTTACCCAGTGTTGATTCATTGGATCTCACATGTCTTTGACAGAATCCTCCAGGAGAAGTTGGACCAGCCTGTGTCTGCTCCTCCCTCTCCCAGGGATGTTTCCATGGAGATTGACTCTCCGGAGAACATGATGCGGCATATCCGCTTCCTGAAGAACGAGGTGGAGAGACTGAAGAAGAGCCTCCGTACCACCGAGCTGCAGCGTGAGTGTCAAAGGCCAATGGGTACTCCTTGCCAGAATTCGGAAAAGCTTTGGTGCTCAAGAAGATTTACAGTCAGTTTTATATGCAGAACTTGTGCATTTTGTTCACTGATTGTTTCACGTGATCTTAGAACACCAGTGGTAGTAGGTCACAGTAGAGTACTCATCTTTTTACAGATTTATTTATTTTATTTAACCTTTATTTAACTAGGCAAGTCAGTTAAGAACAAATTCTTATTTACAATGGCGGTCTACACCGGCCAAACCCGGACGACGCTGGGCCAATTGTGCGCCGCCCAATGGGACTCCCAATCACGGCCGGTTGTGATACAGCCTGGAATCGATACATGTGTATCATGTGTTTGAAAGGTCTATACACTTTCATTTAATTCAATTTGGGAAGAATAGTTATACTACCACTCAAACAGATGTGGACACACTAGGGCTGACCCCATTTAGTCGACTGGTCGATTGTTTGGTCCACAGGCTGTTGGTTGATCGAGATATCTTTAATCGAGCAGTAGTAATAAAATAAATAACACTTGTGTACAAGACACCTGTCTGATTTGCGCCTGTCTGAGTGAACTGATACATTGTGGAGGCTGTGGGGATGGCACAGTCCATCAGTCTAAGAAATGTGCTACTGAAATTGTATATGGTGGATATATTATGTAAGCACAATGGCGCAACACAAGTAAAAAATAATATTATTTTATAACAAATGCGCTTTCTCCCGCGTTAGATAGTGGTCGCTGTCTGCGATTCTGAAACACATCAGTGAGCTGTTGAATTGGCGCCTTTTCCTAGACCATGTTGCTATGTGCATAATAGCAGTTAACCAGCATATTGGTGTTGTGAATAATGCTGTAGCAGCAGAGTTAGGAGACTAGAAAATAGCCCTTGCCTTAATTGTCTAAGAAAAGTGAGGAGAGAGGAAACCCCAACTTGATTAGGTCTATAATCAATTGCCTAACTGTTAAATGTGCCTGGATTTATAAATCATCCATATATAGGCTATCTACAGAAATAAGACTGAGCCTGCTTCTGTTGCCTGATTGAGTGTTTAATAGCCTACTGATTCCGTGAGCACCAAGCCTCACGCAACAATTTCCCAAATTCGTTAGACCATGGTATTATTTATAATTTATTTAGTGTTAACACTGTTCCAAATTGTCAGAAATTATATTAATATTAATAATAATCCTCATTTTTCTTTGATCTCCTTATTGTTATTATTATTATTATGGTCATCATTATAATAAAAGGTAATGTCATTATCATTAGTAGGCTTGGTATAGCAGCCTTGTGTAACCACCATCGCGCTGTCTGTTTAGTCTTAATACCGTAACTTACTTAGGCCTATATTTCAATACTTTTATAGGCTACTGTATCAATCAAGCATTTATTTGTTCTTGTCATCACACAGAATGCGAGTCATTCATGATGTAAAATGCAATCAAGCATTTTAGTTTTAAAATAACAAAGCGACCATTGAATAATTGGCGTTAACAATAAATAGGCCTAAACCGTTTCATTTCGAAAGTTGCATTCACGAATGAATGTGAATGTTTTTAGTCTTTGCTGTAATAAAGGCTTTACAAAAAAAATAAAAAATGTTACAACAGACTCTGGAACGCTTATAATTTGTGTTTAAATTGTTGTTACATATTTTCCACAACTAGTCAAATCCTCACATCAGACTGCGCAACCAGTAAACATTCCCCCGTTTCGAGTTTATTTTTAATGTACTCTGCATCCATTTTGTTGTCACGTGTTACGGTGTTCAGAGTTTGTTATAACCACTTTATTTATGTGATAATGATAATAGGTCAGGCCCTATTGGTCAGGTGCTTGCGATGCATACATGTCATGTAAAGAGAGCAAGGGTTGAGGGGAAATAAATTAGGGATTTCTTTAACATAACTTTTCAGTCAGAAATGGCTGTAGCTTCAGCAACATGGACAGCGCAATACACACAGTTGATGTTCTGTGGTGGTTGCTGCAGACACTAGAGGGAGCTGTCAGACCCATCTTTTGTTTGGTCTAAAGCCCTCTTGGACCAGGGCTGTGGCAAAAATAATACTAAGAAGCTGATGAAATCATGGACTTTTTTAGCTCATAACCCTCTTTGTTATTAGAGACCAGACGTGACCTATTTCAACTATGGAGCTAGTGTTACTTTGAAACATGACAAACACAGTGTATTTAGGTGAATAGCTGCTGTACTATAGCAATAAAGAGCATATAAAAAAAACACCAAAGAAGGGCTAACTAAAACAACTATTGAAGTGGTGCATCATAGACAACTACTTTTGGTAAACACATTAATTATAATATTGTATAAATACTGTTGCGTCTTTGCTCTCTCAGAAAAATACATTGTTGTGAAATGACTCATTGCTGTGTAATGATGATGCATTTGTTTTTGATTAAACTTTATTTGTCCGTCCCCTCCCAGACACAGAGAAGCGGGCCCAGTACATTGAGGAGGAACGGCACATGCGTGAGGAGAACATCCGTCTGCAGAGGAAGCTGCAGAGAGAGATGGAGCGCCGCGAGGCCCTGTGTAGACAACTATCTGAGAGCGAGTCCAGTCTGGAGATGGACGACGAGAGGTAGACATGAAACAGCAACCCATTAAACACTCTGTTCCAACTTCACCATCTCCAACCAATGTTTAATTTCTACTCTGTCAGCCATTCATAGCCAAACGTCAAATATGCAACCCCACACTCTCACTTCCTCAATATCACACCTGATACTCCAATGCTAGTACTTTCTATTTCAGACAGCAAATCATTGCTCAAGGGATTTGGCAGTGATATTTGGAGACATAAGTTAATTGTCTAAACTGTGGTCTTTTCCCCCGTCAGATACTTCAATGAGATGTCAGCTCAAGGCTTGCGAGCACGGACGGTATCCAGTCCCATCCCATACACTCCTTCCCCCAGCTCCAGCCGACCCATATCACCTGGTACGTACAGTACAGGAAGACAATGGCCCACGTCCAACACCTCATAATTACACACTGTTTTACGAATATCTATTATGTCACTGGGTGAAGGAAGAGAGAGCGCCACGTCCATAAAGAGCACCATTGACTCTGACAGAGTTGTTGTAAAATATAGTGTCATATGAATAGGTGTATAGTCCCGTGTAGCTCAGTTGGCTTGCAACACCAGGGTTGTGAGTTCGATTCCCACGGGGGGCCAGTATGAAAAAATGCATGCACTCACTAACTGTAAGTCGCTCTGGATAAGAGCGTCTGCTAAATGACTAAAATGTAAAAAATGTACTATTTTATGTTAAGTTAATCATTAAGTCGTATTTTATCTAGCTGTGTATCAGGAACTCTCTGTTCCAGTTTGATATATCCTTACTGATAATTGGGTGAATTTAAGGTCACCTTGGTACAAGTCCTGTCTCGGTTACAAGGTCGCTACTTGTTTTGAACGTTGGGTTAACAGGTTTATCAAGATAATACATCTATTCAATCCTATTTATATCCCTAACACTAATCCCTAACCACATTGTTCGTTCTAAAATTGTCAGACATCTTGTAAAGTGATTGACAGCTTCTAAAGTTAATACCAATTGAAGGATACATTATTTTGTTTGGGTGACATCCTTTGCCTGCTTCAAGTTCCTTTTGAGTGTTCCTCTTAGCACATCCTGTTGAAAGAGATCCTGCAACGCCCAGGTTCAGTATACAAGGCACCTCCTAGCAACCATGGTTCATGTTAACAGATCAGATGGAGTTAAAGGAAATCAGACGGGTAACATTGGATGATTTTTTAGTCCGGGAAATGTTTTCAGGTGTATAATTAAAGGTCCAATGCAGCTGTTTTTATGTCAATATCAAATAATGTATGGGTAACAATAAGTACCTTGTTGTGTTCAATTAAAATGGTCAAAAAGAAAAAATAGTTTCTTAGCAGAGGGCTATTTCTCAAAGAAGAATTTTGCTAGCACTGTCTAGGAGTGGTCTGAGTGGGAGGGTAGAACTGAAAATTAGGTTTGGAACTCTATTATTGTTCTAACTAATTAACCGCCTGGTGATGTCACCATGGAAAGCCAAAACTCCACCCCACCAAAACAAGCTGAAATTTCAGATTATGTTTTTGAACTTAAACTAAAAGGGCATTATTATCATTTTCACTATTTCACAGTATTATTCCAACTTCATAGTGTGGAACTATATGTAAAACACAGGAAAATCACTTTTTTGACTGCACTGGGCCTTTAAGACTATGGAGCTCAAGTTCCAGTGGGCTGCAAGGACTGTCGGTCTTCAAAACATCTTATTAGAGAATAGATGTTTTTTGCAGTATTGACATTGTGGTACTTCATGATATAAACTGACTGAAAGGTTACATTGATCATAAGCAATAACTGCAGCCGCCCCTGAGGATTAGTCTTTCACCTTTTATCGCCCCATTAGGCCGACGTTACAACACTCTTGAGACAAACCACTGCCAATATCCAGTTGTGTATCTCCCATTCCCCAAAGAGCAACATTTTACATTAAAGCTGCTCCAGAGAAGGAAGAGTAAGGATGCTCCCTGGAATGACCAAAAATAGTGTAATTGGGTTTGAAACAAGTCCAGCATGGTCATTTGTGTATGTTTATCTCTGACAGTCTGCAGTTCCAGACAACTAGAGACATTATGAGCGAGTGTTAGTGGGCTGATAGCTCTGTTAGACATGGCCCCAGAAACGCTAAGCAGGCCAGGTTACCAAGCTACACTGTGTTAGGCTTCTGACGCTAATGACCCAAAGTAGCTGGCTGGGTGATCGCTGTGGCGTGAACCCAATTAGGAGTGTAAGTATAGTGCCAGTTGTGGAAACCTGGTGAGTGCAGCAGCCCCAAAGCCTGTGTAATGTATTGATTGAAATGACCATGCTGCAACATGGTCAGCATGTTTCAACCAGCCTTTATGGTTTTTCCCAGTCACGTAGAGATCCTCAACCTTACTTTACTCACATTCATACCATTTGCATATTGGCCGCAAATATATTCCCTATTTCTTCTAAAAACAACAACTTTTGGTCTTGAGATCTTATTGGATTTTCAACATTGCAGAGCCAATTTTATCATTTGTGAACTTAATTTAGAAAATAAAGACATGCATGGACAAAATTATTGGCACCCCGGAGTTAATACTTGGTTACACAGCCGTTGGCCAAGATAACTGTCAACAAATGCTTCTTGGAGCTACCAATGAGCTTGCTGCAATTTTGCCCACTTTTCAGCAGCAAACTGCTCAAATTCTTCCATGTTTGAGGGGTGCCCTTCACCATCTGCTGTTTTCAGATCTCGCCATAGGTTATGTATGTGATTCAGATCTGGACTCTTCGCTGGCCACTCCAGAACAGTCCAGTGTTTCTTCTTGAACCATTCCAGGGTGCTTTCGATGTGTGTTTGGGGTTGTTGTCCTGTTGGAAGACCCACAACCTTCAACAGACACAGTTTTCCGATAGTGGGTTGAACATTGCACTCGAAAACACCTTGATAATCTGCTGATTTCATGATGTATTACACACGTTCAAGCCCCCAGTACCAGAGGCAGCAAATCAACTCAAGAGTATTATCGAACCTCCCCATGTTTGATTGTAGGGAGGGCATTCTTTGAATGCTTCATTTGGTCATTGGTAAACCTAGGAAGAACCCACTGCTGAAGGAGACACAAGAAAGCCTGATTGAACTTTTCAAAAACCCACCTAATCCTGGGGAAAATGTTCTGTGGACCAATGAAACCAAATTAGAGCTCCTTGGCAATACAGATCAGCGCTGTGTTTACTGACAACCAAGTGAAGCATTCAATGAAAAGAACACCCTCCCTACAATCAAACATGGGGGAGGTTCGATATTGCTGTGGCCGTGATTTGCTGCCTCTGGTACTGGGAGCCTTGAACGTGTGGAAGACATTAAATCAGCAGATTATCAAGGTGTTTTGGAGTGAAATGTTGAGTCTGATGTTAAACCTAGTGTCCAAAAACTGGGTCTCCATTGAAGGTTGTCTGTCTTACAGCAAGACAACGACACCAAACACATCAGAAAGAATCCAGGAATGTTTCAATAAGAGATGCTGAACTGTTCTGGAGTGGCCAGCGAAGAGTCCAGATCTGAATCACATCCAAAACCTATGGCGATAGCTGAAAACAGCAGTTGGAGGGCATTGATGAGTTATCTTGGCCAAAGGCTGTGCAACCAAGTAGAAGCTCCCGGGTGCCAATAATTTTGTCCATGCCATTTGTCTAAATTAAAATTGTAAACTTAAGTTTACAAAAATAAAATTGGTTCTGCAATGTTGAAAATCCAGTAACAAAAAAGTTGTTTTCAATTTGAACTTATTTTTTAAGAAATAGGGAATTATTTAACAAAAGTGCAAGGGTGCCAATATATTTGGCTGCAACTGAACATGGAATTCAGAGACCTAAAATACATTGCAAACTAAACAATGGTTTTGTCTTCTTCCAGGTCTGTCATACGGCAGTCACACAGTTGGGTTCACTCCCCCAGCCACTCTGTCCAGAGCTGCCATCTCCCACTTCAACGCCCCAGCCCTGCACATCCACGGAGGATCCTCCCACGCCGTAGCGGTGAGTCTGCTTCACTCCTATCAGAGCACCAATGGGCATCTGAACTAGTTTGGTTTAATTTACAGTGCACGTAATGATGCTAATTAAATGTCATATGAGATTTTAAAATCAGTCCTAACATAGGAGCTACAGTGCGACATCGCAAAAGCAGTAGGTATTTTACCTGCTGCACTGTAAGCGTAACTTTTGGGCAGCGCGAACAGAGCGTGAGCCACTTTATCCTATTGTTCTTGAGTGTGAGCTGCACATTGAAATATTGAAAATGGAACCGTAGTGTCATTTTACACTGAGCAGTGCAAACGCTTACGCCCCTGTTTCATTGAAGCAGGCCAGTGAATAGGCCTAGTGTTTGGTTTGGGGCTTCGGAATTAGCTTTGAGCCATCAATTGCACCTCCAGAAACTATCAGGAATGTGATCAGTACTACTGGTTATTTGGTGCCTTAGGATGCATTGATCATCTTCAGTAATTGTTATTTTTCATGGATCAACCTTGTGAAAATTGCAAGCAAAACTAAGCTATATAAGCTGCAACATGACAAGAATGGGGTTGATGTGTAGATGGATGAATGCCAGCTATTCTCTTAAATGGCGCAGACAGTATTATCAGATGGCACTAACCAAAAATGTCCCGGCTCTAGATATCATGGGAGTGTAGAAGTGTACATTGATCCTTGCTGAGATGTAGCAATAGTGAAGAATGGATCTCCTACCAATACGATGGAGGAGGGTTGGGTGTAAGTGGCCCATTTATCTTTATGGTGTGTTCGTTAGTATCTAGCCTAAACTGGGTCACATTTTAATTTGTTTGCTACGGTATAAAGCTACTGTGTCCGTCATCTTACATAACTAGCCTCAACAATCAATTGTTGTTGGACATAAGACTGTAAAAACTCCAGGAAATCAGCTCCAAGTTATTTTCATTTTGGAAATCTGTTCCCAAGTATTCCCACGTGTTATCATATAGCAAGGTTTGAAATTATTGTTTTAGTCAAATATTATATCTGTTTGGGATTCTTGCAGTCAATTTGCAATCTACATATTATTTAAAATAATGTTCTGGACCCCCGACCATTCGCTCAAGAAAAGGTTGGCCCGCGGCTGAATCTAGTTGATGATCCCTGGACTATATGAATAGTCAATCAAATGAGGTCTTTTCGATAAATGGGCCAGGAGTCGGGCCGAGCCAGCTCCAGGTTCGATCCCGGGCTGTGTCGCAGACGGCCGCGACCGGGAGACCCATGAGGTGACGCACAATTGGTCCAGCGTCGTCCAGGTTAGGGGAGGGTTTGGCAGGCTGGGATTTCCTTGTCCCATCACGCTCTAGCGACTCCTGTGAAGGGCCAGGCGCATGCACGCTGACACGGTTGCCAGTTGTTCAGTGTTTTCTCTGACACATTGGTGCGGCTGGCTTCCGGGTTAAGCGAGCAGTGTGTCAAGAAGCAGTGCGGCTTGGCAGGGACGTGTTTCGGAGGACGCATGGCTCTCAACCTTAATCTCTCCGAAGTCGGTACGGGAGTTGCGGCGATGGGACAATACTGTAACTACCAATTTGGATGTCACGAAATTGGGGAGAAAAAGGGGTAAATAAACAAGTAACATAAATAAATATATAGGTCTATCTTTCCTACATACATACAGTTGAAGTCGGAAGTTTAAATGCTCCTTAGCCAAATACATTTAAACACAGTTTTTCACAATTCCTGACATTTAATCCTAGTAAAAATTCCCTGTCTTAGGTCAGTTAGGATCACCACTTTTATTTTAAGAATGTGAAATGTCAGAATAATAGTAGAGAATTATTTATATCAGCTTTTATTTATTTCATCACATTCCCAGTGGTTCAGAAGTTTACATACACTCAATTAGTATTTGGTAGCATTGCCTTTAAATTGTTTAACTTGGGTCAAACGTTTCGGGTAGTCCTTCCACAAGCTTCCCACAATAAGTTGGGTGAATTTTGTCCCATTCCTCCTGACAGAGCTGGTGTAACGGAGTCAGGTTTGTAGGCCTCCTTGCTCGGACACGCTTTTTCAGTTATGCCAACACATTTTCTATAGGATTGATGTCAGGGCTTTGTGATGGCCACTCCAATGCCTTGACTTTGTTGTCCTTAAGCCATTTTGCCACAACTTTGGAAGTACGCTTGGGGTCATTGTCCATTTGGAAGACCCATTTGCGACCAAGCTTTAACTTCCTGACTGATGTCTTGAGATGTTGCTTCATTATACAGTGAGGAAAAAAAGTATTTGATCCCCTGCTGATTTTGTACGTTTGCCCAATGACAAAGACATGATCAGTCTATAATTTTAATGGTAGGTTTATTTGAACAGTGAGAGACAGAATAACAACAAAAAAATCCAGAAAAACGCATGTCAAAAATGTTATAAATTGATTTGCATTTTAATGAGGGAAATAAGTATTTGACCCCTCTGCAAAACATGACTCAGTACTTGGTGGCAAAACCCTTGTTGGCAATCACAGAGGTCAGACGTTTCTTGTAGTTGGCCACCAGGTTTGCACACATCTCAGGAGGGATTCTGTCCCCCTCCTCTTTGCAGATCTTCTCAAGTCATTAAGGTTTCAAGGCTGATGTTTGGCAACTCGAACCTTCAGCTCCCTCCACAGATTTTCTATGGGATTAAGGTCTGGAGACTGGCTAGGCCACTCCAGGACCTTAATGTGCTTATTCTTGAGCCACTCCTTTGTTGCCTTGGCCGTGTGTTTTGGGTCATTGTCATGCTGGAATACCCATCCACGACCCATTTTCAATGCCCTGGCTAAGGGAAGGAGGTTCTCACCCAAGATTTGACGGTACATGGCCCCGTCCATCGTCCCTTTGATGCGGTGAAGTTGTCCTGTCCCCTTAGCAGAAAAAAACCCCCCAAAGAATAATGTTTCCACCTCCATGTTTGACATGGGGATGGTGTTCTTGGGGTCATAGGCAGCATTCCTCCTCCTCCAAACATGGCGAGTTGAGTTGATGCCAAATACCTCGATTTTGGTCTCATCTGACCACAACACTTTCACCCATTTCTCCTCTGAATCATTCAGATGTTCATTGGCAAACTTCAGACGGGCCTGTATACAGTGGAGAAAAAAAGTATTTAGTCAGCCACCAATTGTGCAAGTTCTCCCACTTAAAAAGATGAGAGGCCTGTAATTTTCATCATACGTACACGTAAACTATGACAGACAAATTGAGAGAAAAGAAATCCAGAAAATCACATTGTAGGATTTTTTAATGAATTTATTTGCAAATTATGGTGGAAAATAAGTATTTGGTCACCTACAAACAAGCAAGATTTCTGGCTCTCACAGACCTGTAACTTCTTCTTTAAGAGGCTCCTCTGTCCTCCACTCGTTACCTGTATTAATGGCACCTGTTTGAACTTGTTATCAGTATAAAAGACATCTGTCCACAACCTCACAGTCACACTCCAAACTCCACTATGGCCAAGACCAAAGAGCTGTCAAAGGACACCAGAAACAAAATTGTAGACCTGCACCAGGCTGGGAAGACTGAATCTGCAATAGGTAAGCAGCTTGGTTTGAAGAAATCAACTGTGGGAGCAATTATTAGGAAATGGAAGAGGTACAAGACCACTGATAATCTCCCTCGATCTGGGGCTCCACGCAAGATCTCACCCCGTGGGGTCAAAATGATCACAAGAACGGTGAGCAAAATTCATAGAACCACACCTAGTGAATGACCTGCAGAGAGCTGGGACCAAAGTAACAAAGCCTACCATCAGTAACACACTACGCCGCCAGGGACTCAAATCCTGCAGTGCCAGACGTGTCCCCCTGCTTAAGCCAGTACATGTCCAGGCCCGTCTGAAGTTTGCTAGAGTGCATTTGGATGATCCAGAAGAGGATTGGGAGAATGTCATATGGTCAGATGAAACCAAAATAGAACTTTTTGGTAAAAACTCAACTCGTCGTGTTTGGAGGACAAAGAATGCTGAGTTGCATCCAAAGAACACCATAACTACTGTGAAGCATGGGGGTGGAAACATCATGCTTTGGGGCTGTTTTTCTGCAAAGGGACCAGGACGACTGATCCGTGTAAAGGAAAGAATGAATGTGGCCATGTATCGTGAGATTTTGAGTGAAAACCTCCTTCCATCAGCAAGGGCATTGAAGATGAAACGTGGCTGGGTCTTTCAGCATGACAATGATCCCAAACACACCGCCCGGGCCTAGCCAGTCTCCAGATCTCAACCCCATAGAAAATCTTTGGAGGGAGTTGAAAGTCTGTGTTGCCCAGCGACAGCCCCAAAACGTCACTGCTCTAGAGGAGACCTGCATGGAGGAATGGGCCAAAATACCAGCAACAGTGTGTGAAGACTTACAGAAAACGTTTGACCTGTGTCATTGCCAACAAAGGGTATATAACAAAGTATTGAGAAACTTTTGTTATTGACCAAATACTTACTTTCCACCATAATTTGCAAATAAATTCAAAAAAATCATACAATGTGATTTTCTGGATAAATAAAATTACAGGCCTCTCATCTTTTTAAGTGGGAGAACTTGCACAATTGGTGGCTGACTAAATACTTTTTTTTCCCACTATGTGCTTTCTTGAGCAGGGGGACCTTGTGGGCGCTGCAGGATTTCAGTCCTTCATGGCGTAGTGTTACCAATTGTTTTCTTGGTGACTATGGTCCCAGCTGCCTTGAGATCATTGACAAGATCCTCCCGTGTAGTTCTGGGTTGATTCCTCACCGTTCTCATGATCATTGCAACTCCACAAGGTGAGATCTTGCATGGAGCCCCAGGCCGAGGGAGATGGACAGGTCTTTTGTGTTTCTTCCATTTGCGAATAATCGCACCAACTGTTGTCACCTTCTCACCAAGCTGCTTGGCGATGGTCTTGTAGCCCATTCCAGTCTTGTGTAGGTCTACAATCTTGTCCCTGACATCCTTTGGAGAGCTCTTTGGTCTTGGCCATGGTGGCGAGTTTGGAATCTGATTGATTGATTGCTTCTGTGGACAGGTGTCTTTTATACAGGTATCAAAATGAGATTAGGAGCACTCCCTTTTAAGAGTGTGCTCCTAATCTCAGCTCGTTACCTGCATAAAAGACACCTGGGAGCCAGAAATCTTTCTGATTGAGAGGGGGTCAAATACTTATTTCCCTCATTAAAATGCAAATCAATTTATAACATTTGACATGCGTTTTTCTGGATTTTTTGTTGTTATTCTGTCTCTCACTGTTCAAATAAACCTACCATTAAAATTAGACTGATCATTTCATTGTCAGTGGGCAAACTTACAAAATCAGCAGGGGATAAAATACTTTTTTCCCCTCAATGTATCCACATAATTTTCCTTCCTCATGATGCCATCTATTTTGTGAAGTGCACCAGTCCCTCCTGCAGCAAAGCACCCCCACAGCATGATGCTGCCACCCCTGTTCTTCACAGTTGGGATGGTGTTCTTTGGCTTGCAAGCCGCCCCATTTTTCCTCCAAACATAACGATGGTCATTATGGCCAAACAGTTCTATTTTTGTTTCATCAGACCAGAAGACATTTCTCCAAAAAGTAAGATCTTTGTTCCCATATGCAGTTGCAAACCGTAGTCTGGCTTTTTTATGGCGGTTTTGGAGCAGTGGCTTCTTCCTTGCTGAGCGGCCTTTCAGGTTATGTCAATATAGGACTTGTTTTACTGTGGATATAGATACTTTTGTACCTATTTCCTCCAGCATATTCACAAGGTCCTTTGCTGTTGTTCTGGGATTGATTTGTCTCTAGGAGACAGAACGTGTCTCCTTCCTGAGTGGTATGACGGCTGCGTGGTCCCATGGTGTTTATACTTGCATACTATTGTTTGTACAGATGAACGTGGTACCTTCAGGTGTTTTGTAAATTGCTCCCAAGGATGAACCAGACTTGTGTAGGTATACAATTCTTTTTCTGAGGTCTTGGTTGATTTCTTTAGATTTTCCAATGATGTCAAGCAAAGAGGCACTGAGTTTGAAGGTAGGCCTTGAAATACATCCACAGGTACACCTCCAATTGACTCAAATTATGTCAATTAGCCTATCAGAAGCTTCTAAAGCCATGACATTTTTTTCTGGAATTTTCCAAGCACAGTCAGCTTAGTGTATGTGAACTTCTGACCCACTGGAATTGTGAAACAGTGAATTATAAGTGAAATCGGTCTGTAAACAATTGTTGGAGAAATTACTTGTGTCATGCACAAAGTAGATGTCGTAACCGACTTGCCAAAAATATAGTTTGTTAACAAGACATTTGTGGAGTGGTTGAAAAACTAGTTTTAATGACTCCAACCTAAGTGTATGTAAACTTCCGACTTTATCTGTACTTTGTATCTCTGGTTTTAGTTGTTTAACTTTACACTGAAAGTGTTTTTCCATCCCAAGGATTACAATAGCAGAAGAATCCCTTGTGTGTTACCATAAACTCCAGGGAGAGGGTATATTTAATTTTGCCCGACTAGCATCCTTGTGCTTGTATTGATAAACTTATTCAATACTCCCATGACGAACAATGTAGACGCTCTCATGTCCATTTATGCTGTAGAATGCTCTTGATTTAGAAGCTTGTATTTCAGTTCTCACACCATTCGGCACAATCTTGTGGGACCTCCCTGCCTATGTTTAAGTGACCTCCCAGTGCCTGTTATCTACTCAGGAGGTCCTCTCCCAGTGCCAGCAGGGTGGTAATGACTGTGGTGGCGGCAGGGATCAGCCCAATCTGACACAGATCCCTGTAACCTTTGTCTCCCGTTCAACCACTCATTACCACAGGCTTTAGGAAATTCCATTCCCTCACTTTTCTGTTACTGCTGTTCAGGTCACTCTGTCCCATCATTCGTTCCATTGCTGCACAAACGGACCTGGGAGCAGCCTGGGGCAATATGGATTAGCCTATTAATTGCAAATGGATACTAAAATATACCAAAGTTCTGTGTAGGAGTCTGAGTACTGAGTAGAACATTTTACATCAGTGACTGTCTTCTGCAGACGCCTCCGGCTCAATGTCAACATCGGCTAGGTTTCCATCCAATTGGTGACAGATTTTAATGTAAATATTCCAGAATCTGCATAAAGAAAATATGCAAATTTTCCCACCAGTGGTGTTTCCACCAAATTGATTTGTTGCGGATAAGAATCAGTGCGTGATGACGTAGTGCACATACAATTTACTTTTTTGCTTATGTTTTCATGTACAGAATAAAAATCTATATGTTCAATATGTTTCCATCGCATTTTCAACTCTACCAATAGTTTTGTCAAAAAACTATTGCGTTAAATATCAAATGTGCCTAGTCTGGTCTTGGCATGTGTACTCTAGCCAACAGCTCGCAGATAGTGCGGGTAGACTAGTCTACATGATGAGATTATTATGGTAAGAGCGAGAATATTTTTATTTGTCAAACGACAGTCAAGCATCGATCATCATGTCACCAGAATAAGACACTCTATGTATTGGAAAGGAGCATCAAGATCACTGTGCACTTTCACCACCCTGCGAAGCTCCATTGTCAGCATATAGGGAAGCCCCAATGCCCCTACCCACATTCGTAAACACATCATTAATCATAATATTGAACAGAAAACAACTGATAGCACTGCCTTGAGGAATACCATTGTCAACTCCATAGGCATCAGACAAAATGAATCCTATCATTTATTTAATCTGTAGCCTAATAAACTGCATGGTTTTCCGAGTCGTAGTGGGAGGACCACACAACATGTCATCGTGTGACTCCAAGTTTATTTTGATATGATCGTTGTTATATCAATATCTGCACATAAAGGCATTTCTACACCGTTTCTCGCATAATTAATTTTACAGACACAAAAAGATCACACCATGTCGAACGAACAAATGATCTGTCGGCATTTATAAAATTGTACCGAAACTTCCTGTTTCCATCACAGCTGCCGTGAATTTTTTTTGAATATACGTTATGACTTTACTTGCATAAAAACTGTGGATGGAAACATGGTTAGTGTCTCTGTAGAGTGAAGCCATTCCCTGTGGTTATGGAGACTGGTTAAGTAACATTGATTTCCCGTGTCTGACTGGCTGCTGGGAGAAGTCACAGAAGTTCACCCTCCTCTCATCAGGTACCAGGTCCTCTCATCAGGTACCAGGACCACCCTGGTGTTTAAACAGGTTTCAGCTCAGATGGGTCAGGAGCTCAGAGTTTACTGTGTGAACTGAACACTCTGCTTCTGTTCGGTGACTTGCGATTTCCCATTGGAAAAAGTGACACTGTATGCCTCTAAAGTGTGTTGGTTTCTGGGTGGCAGCCGTCATTAGAGATCCTAGAGCTCATCAGCAGTAAGTGGTGGTGACAGGGAGCTCCAGGCCAGCCACCCAGACACTCGTCAAAGCCAGGGTGTATTCACCAGCTATTCGCCAGCGCTTTGGCACCAGCAGTATTTGTTTATGACTCGCCAATGCAAGAGGGGCACTGTTTCCAGAAAGATATTTGAAGGTGTTCGATTTCAAATACAAGCTTTTTGTGAAAGGGTAATTTTTTAAAATGAGAATTGACATGACAGAGAGTGTTTCTCGTCTTTGCTCTTTTCTTTGAAACAGAGGCCCTCCCCGAGAAGAAGCATCAGCCCAGACAAATTCAAACGTCCGACACCGCCACCCTCTCCCAACACGCACTCAGAGGCGCAGCCTCTGCACCCGCTCCCCCCGCCAGCGCAGCCGATGGTCCAGTCCATGTCCTCTCCTGCAGCCATGTCGCAGCATGCAGCACATCCCCCCTCCCAGCCTTAACATGTGTGCCATGCCATGCGACACTACTTCGACAACCAGGGAGTTGAAACCCTACAGAGCAAGTTTCTATGAGCCGGCAGAAGACCTGAAGCAACACGGGGCGTTCTAAGGAATTGACTGACTTTAACTGCGCTTCTGGGATTTGTAGGCTGATATCTGTTCACCTTGTCTTGTACATGTTTGTTTTTTGTTTGGAACTGTCGACGATTGGAATTGTTATTGTGGCGCTGACAACCAACACGTATGGTAACAACGTCTTGTAGTGGTGTTTGTGAGCTGGATGTGTTGGATCCCTTCCATGTCTACAATACCACATTCCAACTGCAGTAATGTGCACCCTCTTGTTCAAAAGCAACTTAAGCAATTGCATCCCAGTAAGAATCGCTTAAGTCGGTAAAATGTATTGTAAAAGAAAGCTCAACTTTAGGAGTAACCCAGACATAGGGCATTGATAATGGGAGGGAGCTAGCACAAATGTATGTTGACGTTTTGTTTCTGAAAGACACTGCTCGTAAAAATAAAAATAAAAATAATAAAAAGGATGGACAATGGTACATAAACCACAGATAAATTTTGGCTTTTGAGGTATTCAAATGTAGTCTGAGGTGTTACAATATATGTAGTCATGTACTCTTGCGTCTTTCTCTCTTTCACACCTCTATCTCTTGTGTAGTTTATAAAAGCTTCTGTCATCCCTATGGATATTCCTCATCAGACAAAAACATAATGCTCTTTACACTAAATATACTGATATAACATTCTAAATGAATGGTACTGTTGAATGACATTTCTATGTATGATTAAAAGCTCTTGAAGGTGACTCTAATTTGAGTGTGATTGTGTTGTACTTTGTTTTTACAATATGTGGCAACTCTGACTGTTGGTAATGTTTTCAGTTCTACTGGAGGTTGTCATGTATGAACCAGTGAAAGACTGACAGTGTTTATCCTTCTGCTCTATTTTTTATTTGAATACCAGCATTGAATGCACACACAAAACCGTGGCTTATCTGAAGCATGCGCTGTTCTGTAAAATCATGTGTTCCAGTCACACTTATTTTTGGCATAAGCCTGAGCTGAACGTCACACAAGTTATGCAAGATGAACTTTTGGCACTAATAAAGTAATTGACTGGAAATGATATGTCCAAAGGTGTGAATGTGTTATTGTGTGTAATGTCCTTAATGTCTTGCCCTTTGATTTCCCTGATGGTTGCCAGATCAAAGAGTCCTAAAAACAGACCCTCACTTCCAACATTCCAGTGTTTTCTTGGTGGCAGAGGACATAGGCAATGAAATCTTACTCTGGCTTCAGCCAAATGCTATCCCACTCTGGCGAGGAACTATGTTATTCCCAATACCAGAACCACTTCACAGACTGTTCAGTAATCCCCTTTCTCTTTTAGCTGCTGTGCGTGTGATAGTAGCTACATAAAAATAGCCTTGCCCGGCTTTCTCTTGTTACCCCTTAGCACCCTGAACTGATGTTAATCTAGCTTCAAAAATATTTCATTTTAAGCAGCTCTCTCAATAGCTCACCTCTCGCCCCTGGCTGTGCGCCCATGACCAAACGTCAAGTCCACTTGGTTTGGACTGGTTCAAGCCAGTCAGGAGAGTGGCTTTTCATGACTCCAATCTCCAGGGAGATTACTGTGATAAACTTTTATAATGTTATTGCAATAACCCGAAGGACTGGATGGGAACTTGATCCGGCAGAAATGTAGGCCGCAGGTCGGGTGGACAGGAGAGACCGATTCACACATTTGGGCCAAAAGAACAACCATTAAAACAATGTATGCGATAGCCATGTTGAAAGAGCTTTTTTCAGATGTGTTGTGATATGATACACCTCTGTGTGTAATGTTTTCATCGTACAGCATGCTGTTGCAGAGCTAAGCAACTCAAACTAATCTAAGCAGGAATCCAGATTGGACTCTGAAAGGAGCCACGCTGTGAGACTCTGTGCCCTTTTAATCTGGGGTTCTCGGAACCTGGTGGCAGAGCAAACACTGGTGTTTATTCACCCGTGGGGCGGCTCTGTGTTTTCAACAACAGACCCTCTCACCCTGATTGGTTTCATGCAACTGAACAGCTGGTTGCTGCTCTTGAGGTCTCTGTCGGTGTGAATGTGGACAGATGATGCTGCGAGAAAGGGAAAATATTTAGCCTCCCTAAAGGTGTCAGTCTTGGCCATCTTCCCAGAGCTGCTGGGAGAAGTGTGTTAGTATGTTTTCCTTTTTGGAGGGTCATGTCAGCAGCATAGTGGAGATTAAAGCTTGGCACAACTGTATTTGGGGAGTTTCTCCCATTCTTCTCTGCAGATCCTCTCAATATCTGTCAGGTTGGATGGGGAGCGTCGCTCCACAGTTTTTTTCAGGTCTCTCCAGAGATGTTAGATCGGGTTCAAGTCCGGGCTCTGGCTGGGACCAATCAAGGACATTGAGACTTGTCCCGAAGCCACTCCTGCGTTGTCTTGGCTGTGTGCTTAGGGCCGTTGTCCTGTTGGAAGGTGAGCGTTCGTCCCAGTCTGAGGTCCTGAGCGCTCTGGAGCAGGTTTTCAACAAGGATCTCTCAGTACTTTGTTCTGTTCATCTTTCCCTCGATCCTGACGTCTCCCAGTCCCTGCAGCTGAAAAACATCCCCACAGCATGATGCTGCCACCACCATGCTTCACCGTAGGGATGATGCCAGGTTTCCTCCAGACGTGACACTTGGCATTCAGGCTAAAGAGTTCAATCTTGGTTTCATCAGACCAGAGAATCTTGTTTCTCATGGTCTGAGAACCCTTTAGGTGCCTTTTGGCAAACTCCAAGCGGGCTGTCATGTGCCTTTTACTGAGTGGCTTCCTTCTGGTCACTCTAACATAAAGGCCTGATTGGTGGAGTGCTGCAGAGATGGTTGTCCTTCTGGATGGTTCTCTCATCTCCACAGAGGAACTCTGGAGCTCTGTCAAAGTGACTATAGGGTTCTTGGTCACCTCCCTGACCAAGGCCCTTCTCCCCCGATTGCTCAGTTTGGCTGGGCGGCCAGCTCTAGGAAGAGTCTTGGTGGTTCCAAACTTCTTCCATTTAAGAATGATGGAGGCCACTGTGTTTTTGGGACCTTCAGTGCTGCAGAAATGTTTTGGTACCCTTCCCCAGATCTGTGCCTCGACACAATCCTTCCTCGGAGCTCTACGAACAATTCCATCGACCTCATGGCTTGGTTTTTGCTCTGACATTCACTGTCAACTGTGGGACCTTATATAGACAGGTGTGTGTCTTTCCAAATCATGTTCAATCAATTGAATTTACCACAGGTGGACTCCAATCAAGTTGTAGAAACATCTCAAGGATGATCAAAGGAAACAGGATGCACCTGAGCTCAATTTCGAGTCTCATAGCAAAGGGTCTGAATATTTATTTCTGTTAAAATAAGTAAAAATAATCTATAAACCTGTTTTCGCTTTGTCATAATTGGGTGTGTGTAGATTGATGAGGATTATTAAAAAATATATTTTAGAATAAGGCCGTAACGTAACAAAGTGGAAAAAGTCAAGGGGTCTGAATACATTCCGAATGCACTGTACATCCCAAAAGCACACAAATCAAGTCCTTACATACTGTATAAGGCCCATATGCAGGATTGGGTAGGTTACTTTCTTAATGTAATCTGTTACAGTTACTAGTTACCTGTCCACATTTTTATCAGTAACGTAACTTTGGGATTTCTCAAACTCAGTATGTGGACACCTGCTTGTCGAACATCTCATTTCAAAATCATGGGCATTAATATGGAGTTGGTCCCCTTTTGCTGCTATAACAGCCTCCACTCTTCTGAGAAGGCTTTCCACTAGATGTTGGAACATTGCTGCAGGGACTTGCTTCCATTCAGCCACAAGAGCATTAGTGAGGTTGGGCACTGATGTTGGGCCTGGCTCGCAGTCGGCGTTCCAATTCATCCCAAAGGTGTTTGATGGGGTTGAGGTCAGGGCTCTGTGCAGGCCAGTCAAGTTCTTCCACACCGATCTCGACAAACCATTTCTTGTGGACCTCACTTTGTGTACAGGGGCATTGTCATACTGAAACAGGAAAGGGCCTTCCCCAAACTGCTGCCACAATGTTGGAAGCACAAAATTGTCTAAAATGTCATTGTATGCTGTAGCGTTAAGATTTCCCTTCACTGGAACCATTAAAAACAGCCCCAGACCGTTATTCCTCCTCCACCAAACTTTACAGGTGGCACTATGCATTCGGGCAGGTAGTGTTCTCCTGGCATCCTCCAAACCCAGATTTGTCCGTCAGACTGCCAGATGGTGAAGCGTGATTCATCACTCCAGAGAACCTGTTTCCACTGCTCCAGAGTCCAATTGTGGCAAGCTTTACACCACTCCAGCCGACACTTGGCATTGCGATCTTAGACTTGTATGCGGCTACTCAGCCATGGAAACTCATTTCATGAAGCTCCCGACGAACAGTTCTTGTGCTGACGTTGCTTCTAGAGAACTCGGCAGTGAGTGTTGCAACCGAGGACAGCCAATTTTTACATGCTATGCGCTTCAGCACTCGCGGTCCCGTTCTGTGAGCTTGTGTGGCCTACCACTTCGAGGCTGAGCTGTTGTTGCTCCTAGACGTTTCCACTCCACAATAACAATACTTACAGTTGAACGGGGCAGCTCTAGCAGGGCAGAAATTTTACGAAATGACTTGTTGGAAGGTGGCATCCTATGACGGTGCCACGTTGAAAGTCACTGAGCTCTTCAGTAAGGCCATTCTACTGCCAATGTTGGTCTATGGAGATTGCATGGCTGTGTGCTAGATTTTATACACCTGTTAGCAACTGTTGTGGCTGAACTAGACGAATCCACTCATTTGAAGGGGTGTCCACATACTTTTGTGTGTATATAGTGTATCTGTAATCTGATTACAAGATTTCTTGATGGTATCGGAACTGATTACATTTGTTTGTTTTTTCAATATCAGATTACATGTATCAGATTAGATGTAATCAGTTATTCCTCAACCCTGCCCATATGTAAGGACATTTTGGGGATACAGTCCATTCGGAAAGTATTCAGACCCCTACTATTTTTCCACGTTTTGTTACATTACAGCCTTATTCTAAAATGGATTAAATAAAATAAAAAATCTCATCAATCTACACACAATACCCCATAATGACAAAGCGAGAACAGGTTTTTATAAATATTTGTAAATTTATAAAAAATAAACAAATACCTTATTTACATAAGTATTTGCTATGAGACTCGAATTTGAGCTCAGGTGCATTCTATTTCCATTGATCATCCTTGAGATGTTTCTACAACTTCCATGTCAGAGAAAAAACCAAGCCATGAGGTCGAAGGAATTGTCTGTAGAGCTCCGAGACACGATTGTGTCGAGGCTAAGATCTGGGGAACGGTACCAAAAAATGTATCCAGCATTGAAGGTCCCCAAGAACACAGTGGCCTCCGTCATTCTTAAATGGAAGAAGTTTGGAACCACCAAGACTCTTCCTAGAGCTGGCCGCCTGGCCAAACTGAGCAATTGGGGTAGAAGGGCTTTGGTCAGGGACGTGACCAAGATCCCGATGGTCACTATGACAGAGCTCCATAGTTCTTCTGTGGAGATGGGAGAACCTTCCAGAAGGACAACCGTCTCTGCAGCACTCCACCAATCAGGCCTTTATGGTAGAGTGGCCAAATGGAAGCCACTCCTCAATAAAAGTTAAATGACAGCC